GGGTAAGCTTTATTTATTAAAATACAAATGAAACGCCACTATAACAGAGGAGGAGAAGGGGTGACCTCCACCAAGTTTTTAGTTTTTACAGACATAATTACAACAGTTCCATAGGAAAGAACGATGATATAAAGATTTCGGAATCATAAAAAGGCAGGTAGAACCTGACAAGGCAGTGATCCGGGAACAAGTGACAACACTCATGAAGAGTCAGCATCCACGAGCTACTACCTGGCACTCCCAGCCATTAGATCAAGTTACTAAACGTCCCCGAACCCTGGACGCACCCATGCCCAGACCTGTTCGTCTGGCACCTGTCCTCCTATCTTTTTGAAATTCCTATATGGTCTGTTAGCAAAGGTAATTGTGGGGGGATTGGATTTATGTAAATTTGGCTGTTAGAACAAAGAGAGATGCTATCATTCTAAGGCCTCGTGGAAGGTCATTTCATTGCCCATGCAGGAGGAAGATACACTGCTGTGGTATTTGGAGAATGAAACTCATTTTGAAGGGAGAAATGCCATCATTTCACAAGATTTTTTTTTTTTTTGCAGAATTCACAGTGACTTATCCAAAAGACAAGTGTTCCTGCAGTTCTGCTGAACTTATGGGTTCTCCATAAGTTATACCCTATAAGTTGTACACTTGTAGATCTGTCTAAGAATCTGTCTGCTGTACATTTACTGTATAATTCTTGTGGCTCCAACTGTGATCAACAGGGGAGGGACCAGCCCATGATGGGTGTTGCCATCCCTAAGCTGATGGCCCTGAGTTCTTTAAGAAGCAGGCTGAGCAGGCCATGGGAAGCAAGCCAGCAAGCAGGCCCCTCCATGGCCTCTGCATCAGCTCCTGCTTCCAGAACCCTGCCCTGTTTGAGTTCCTGTCCTGACTTCCTCCAGTGATGAACAGCAATGCACAAGTGTAAGCCAAATAAACTCTTTTCTCCCCAACTTTGCTTTTGGTCATGGTGTTTCATCACAGTGATAGAAACCCTAACTGAGAAGGATGCCCAGCTCAGGAATTGAGGGTGGGATAAGAATTGAGCTGGGCTTCATGTGCTATTTTAGCAAAGGATCTAGCTGCATTCTGTTCATATTCTAAGAATTTATATGGAACCAGATGTAAAAATAATGGACTAATTCCATGACAGCATAACACTGAGTGGGTGGAAGGTTATTACCGGTTACTCTATGCAGATCTGTAGTTGAAATGAGCAACAAATAGGGCAGAAAGTAATCAAAAATGTGCGGCTTAGAGAGGAAAATAACTTAGGAAGCTTACACTTGTGGCCAGGGCATGTTCCGAGAAAGAGGCTGTATTAAAGAGATGCTGCCTGTTCTTCACTGGAACAGGAAAAATTACCTTGAGGGCAAGGCCCCCATCCCAGGCTTGTGGACAGGGAGCCCCAGGGCATTTCTGCCCCTGGAAAGCAACAGTCAGGGAAGTTTTCAACCAGCTTGAGCACACGCAGGGGGCTGGAACCATGGTCCACAGTAGCCGGCCTCCATCCGCAGCTGGAAGCAGAACTGTTTCCATGACTCTGATTTTGGAATCATGAAAGATGCAAGATTGTGAGATGCCAGCGCTGTGGGGTATCTGCCAAGGAGTGCTGCATACAGGGGTGGAGCCAGCACAAGAAAAGGAGAGGGACATTGCACGTGCGACAATGCTGGATGGGTGGAGCCACCTAAGCTTTGGAAAACGGGTCTCTAGAAACTGGGCACGAAGCTACAGGATTTGGTATTTGTCCAGCTGAATTTCATGCTAGCTTTGGTCCAATCTTTCAATTCACTATGCCTCAATTTCTCCCTTTGGGGATGGAAATGGACGCTTTATGCTCCATACACTGGGAGCAGACAATTTGGTCTTGTGTGTTTGTTTTTACAGTGTGTCGCAGTAAAGAGACTTTGGACTTTTAAGCACTGTTGGGAATATTAAAGACTACAAGGACTTTTCAGATTTGGCTAAACATCGTGAGAAGGCCATAAACATTTTGTGGTCAAGGAAGGAATGTTGTGGTTTCAATAGGAAGCATCTCCTGTGGACTCTTCTGTTTGAGCTCTTGGTCTCCGACTTGCGGCACTGTTTAGGAAGATATGGGACTGGGGAGGTGGAGCCTTGCTAGATGAAGGGTGTCACTGGGGAAAACTTTGAACTGAATCTAACACAGATGCTCTGCCACCGAGCCGCATCACCAGTCCAATAGATATGGCTTTCCACGTGAATCTTTTGAGTCATTGGTACTGCTAGGCATGGCTGTTCATGTTTGCAATCCCAGCATTTGGTGAGGAAGCTGAGGCAGGAGGATTGCCACAAGTTTAGCTCACCCTGGGGTACAGTGTGAGAGTCTGTCTCAAAGGACCACTGCCAACAAAAATTCAGTGGTACTTCATCTTTTCTAGGTCATACACATTGGTAAATAACTAGTTTATTAAAGTGTGACACTCTTCTGAGAATTCATGCGTAAGTAGTTTCACAAATAATCTTAAGATGTTCGGGAAGCCTAGAGAATTGTTAAAGATGATTTGTATTAAATATTCGCATACTTGGCTCTCCTACCTCTCTCCCTCCCTCCCTTCCTTGTAGCATGAATTCTAACTGATACTAGTAATAAAAACCCAGAGTCAGATATAGGGTTTAGTGCTGAAGATAAGACAAGCAGAGAGGCCAGTCACTAGAGATTTCTTTTTCCTCTACCAATGCTCAGACTGAAAGGGTGATCCTGTCCTCAGACTATATCTCCAGACTCTGCCTTCACCAAACCTCAGACTGCAACTGTCTCCACCAAACCTCAGATTGCCCTTAGCTCTTGTCTCCTTCTGCCTTATATTCCTGTCTCCACCCAGTCATATCACTCCTGTCTCCACCTCTCTAGCTCTAGGATTAAAGGTGTCTTATCCCAAGTACTGGGATCATCTTTCTGTGAGCTCTGTTTCTCTTTTATACCTATTCAATCTCATGTAGCCCAGGATGGCCTTGAACGAACAGAAATCTGTCTACCTCTGTCTACAGAGTCTTCCTTGCGATTAAAGATGCATGCCACCACTCCCTGGCTTTTAGTGGCTTAGCTCTGCACTCTGATCTTCAGGCAAGCTTTATTTGTTAAAACCTAAACAAAATATCACTACACTTCCTTCTTTTCTTCCTTCTGTTCTTCCTATTTTCCTTCTCTGGAAGGCTTATTTTTGAGGGCCTGTACCTGCGGCTGTAAACTAACCAACTAACTAAAAGCAATATAAAAAAATACCATCATATATGTAATGGCAAAGCCAACCAACATGGTTTGTTTGGATTACTGTCTTTTTGCATATTATACACATTCTCTCAGCAGACACTGAAAGAATCCTGGGCTGGTGCTCTTAGGTTTTCTAAGAAAGCAGCTGAGCAGAGGAAACAAGTCAGTAAGCAGCATCCCTCCATGGCCTCTGCATCAGCTCCTGCCTCCAGGATCCTGTCCTGTTTGCATTCTTGTCCTGACTTCCTTCAATGATGAACAGTGATGTGAAATTATAAGCTGAATATACACTTTTCTCCTCAGTTGCTTTTTGGTCGTGGTGTTTCATCAAAGCCAATGAAAACCGGAGACATGCAACAACCCAGAACAAAAGGAGCCGAGACAAATGGAGACTCCAGCACCTGACCAGAGCTTCCAAAGCACCTGTGTCATTTTCATGAGAAATGGTGGGAAGAGTCTTCCAAGGTCTGGAAGGGCCCTGACTCCTGGATTGCTGGGACAGTCTCCAGGACAGCCAGTGACAACTCAGAACCACCTTCAAACTTGGTTAGCATCCTGCTCTCCTCCTGGAGGGGCTACAGTATTCTATGCAAGACCCAGGACTGAGATTGTGTATCAGATGCCTCAGAGGTTCTTATAGTGTGGGGATGTTCCTGATGAGGTAATCTCGGGGAGCCAGGGACATGCTGTCAGGGGCTAAACATGTTCCCTCAAAATGCAGGTGCTGAAGTTCTTACTCTTCCCCACACAATGTCTTAGACTTTGGAGACGAGGTCATTAAAGAAGAGGTTACTTTAAAATAAGGAATTCTGGTTCAATAGAACTGGTACCCCATTAGAAGACAGAGAGCCACCCAGAGTGGTGACAGAGCTCAGACCTTGTGAAGACATGGTGATAAGACGCCTGTGATAAGCCAAGAGTGGCCTCCAGTATCCGGACACTTTGACCGGAGACTTTGTGCCTACTGGACTATGAGAAAGTGTCTACTGTTCAGCCACCCACACCCTAGCAAATTCAGATGACTACCATCAGAACACCGAGAGGCACATCTGAGAAAAACAGCCAGAGACATCAGACACCCATTTTATTTGAGACTGGGTGTTAGGATAACAGTGTTACTTCATATTAATCCCTTAATTTCCTTGCTAATGAGTTTTAAACAATGTCTCGAAGTCAAAATTACCACCATCGTGTAATGTTCCCACAGCTCAGAGCGATGGTGGACCATCCACGGAAAGAATGCAACTGTATTTAAAGATGGGGACCACCCACAGAAAGAGCGCCTGTACTTAATTGGTGTGGGAGAATTATCTGTAGTCTGTCAATCATGTATTTTAATAAAACGCTGATTGGCCAGGCAGGAAGTATAGGTGGGTCAACCAGACAGGAAGTGGAGGCAGGGCAATGAGAATAGGAGAAGGCTAGGGAGGAGGAAACTTCCTCAGCCACTCCTGCTCAGACCACCGAAGAAGCATCATGTAACTTGCCCAGCTGAGAAAGGTACTGAGCCATTATGGCTAACATAGATAATGATAATGGATTAATATAAGTTACAAGGACTAACAAGAAGCCTGACCTAATGGCCCAATCAGTTTATAACCTTATGGAGTCCTGTGTGTAATTTTCTTTGTGGCTTGTCAGCTGTGGGGTACTGGGTGGGATAGAAACCCCAACAAGCTGGACCGTCATGTTACACTTAATGACAAATATGATGATGACAAAGTAGAAAAGCAATGGGAATCCAACAAAAGCCACGCCCCCTTACCTTACGATTGTGGGATACAGCTCTGCTGTGTAGGTGAAAAGGAAGGCTAACACTGCCCCTACAGTAGTTTTGACAACCACAACCGCCACTGTCTTCAAAGTCTTGTGACCCTGGGGGCACACAAGGGAAATATGACATCATCAAAAGGACCTAAAACTTTCTTATTCCGCCCATATGTTTTAAAACAACAAAGAGTTTTAATTTTCCTATTTGGATTTATTTTGTAAACTCAACTAACTTATAGACTGCAAAAGCTTTCTATCGTGAACCTTCGGGGAAAAGGCGCCCTCCCCTAACCCTGGAGGGGCTGGAAGCTTGCCAGGAAGAAGGCTTTGGGGTGAGAGTCACCTGAAGGGTATGGATTACTGGTACCAGCACCAGTCACTGACCCACCCTCCTTGACCCAGCGGATTGGAAGGAGCCCTCAGAGCACAGTGTGCATTTGGGGAAAGCACACCAGGTTTGTAAGTTATCTCCAAACACAACCATTCACAAGCATCAGCTGCTGCATCCTTCAGTAGCTTCAGTCAGGGCCTCCAACCCATTCTCTGGCGTCTCCAAGGGGTTCCACTTCCAGGGTGGCTCATGAGGATGTCCCTGGTCTGCACTCCCCTTTATCTGGTAGGCAGGTGTCAAGTGCTCTAACCTAGGGTGTCCTGTGTTCAGAGTGGTAGCCCTGAGGCTGGAGAACTCTTTTGGGTCTTTGTTGTTGTTGTTTGTTTGTTTTTTTCACTATTGCAGCCCTTCAAAATTTTATTTGAAACAAGATAGCTCTAGTATCACTTTGGCATTAAGTATGTGCCTAAGAGAGAGATGGGGGGAGAAGAACAGGTCGGGGGGGAGGCAGGCTCCCACTTTGTGACCTCAGGGCCAGCTCTCCCTCCTGCCTCAGACATTGATGGGGCCACCTCCCTCCCACCATGCTGCCACAGGATAGATGAGTGACGGGGACAACTTACACTTACCTCTCTTGTAGAGGGCCTGGGTTTGGTTCCCAGCACCCACACGGCAGCTACAACCATTTGTAACTCCAATTCTTGGGGACCAGACACTGTTTTAGCTTCCCAGCACACCAGGCATGCGCATGGTACACAGACAAACACACAGACAAAACACCCTTACACGGGAAATAAAATAATAATAATAACAGCAGTACTGAGTGACTCTTTGGAGCCAAGCAGGCCCTCCCTAACTCTGGTTAGATAATCAGTACACCATGTGAACTTCCTCCGAGCATATTTATAATTCATATTATGTTAAGTCATAAGATTTGGGGTACCTCTAAGACTGCTAGTGTCGCTGTTATTGTGGGCAATATTTGTTAAAAGAATTGGTTCCTGTTTTATTTTTGCTTGCCCCATGCTGGACCACATGCCAAACAAGCACAGTACCACTAAGCTACAGCCCCAATTAGCATGAATAAAAAAAAATCATTATTTTTACTATGTTGACATTATCTTTGAGGGAGAAATTCTCTCAAAGGATCTTAAAGTTGCAAGTTCTTGTTTTATTTCTAAAAGTTTCCAGCAGTCGCTCTCTTTTCTTCCTTACTACTAAGGAATGGAAAGTTTTTAAAAAATCTGCTAGACCCAGAAGAGGCTTTCCCCAAGCCAGCTCAGCCACCTTTGCAAAGGGATGGATAAAGCTCTCTCACACCGGCAAAGACTTCCCTGCCTGAGTAGTTTTATTCATAGTAAGTGTGTGCCAATCACTTGGAAATTCAGTGATGTGAAATATTTGGCTCATTGGCCCTGATAATTAGATCATGTTGCCATGAAAGGATGTCACTTACGGCTTAAACTAACCTTCAAGCAATATGCATAAGTTAAAATGCTTTGCTTATCGGCGAATCAATCCCACACCAGTTATGTTTTAAGGGGTTATTTATTTTGGGGGGTAAAACTTACATACACCATAAACCGTCAGGAAGGGAGCCTAGTCGCAGGAGCCGGGAGCAGGAGCCAGGAGCAAGCACCGGAACCAAGAGCCGGAACCAAGAGGGCCTGATCCGGATCTGCTTCTCTTTTTAAAAGAGAAATATACCACGCCCCAGTGGGCTGGTATTTCAGCAGCTATTGGCTGACGGAGCGGAAGTCGCTCCCCGCTGCACTGTGGGCTCGTATTTCAGCGACTATTGGTTGAGGCAACGGAAGTTACTCCCACAACACCTGCTCTAAACATTGCTTCAATATTTTCTGAAGAAAATGATACAAACTGTTCTAAATATAGCTGTGGGATCCAGTGCCTCTAGGTCCTACGGGCACCGTGCACACGCCCACACATAGGCACATACACACACACACACACACACACACACACACATTTGTGTAATTTTTAAGTGACTCAGTGAATGGTGTCGAGCGCCATTCAGTGGCCTGAGAGGAAAACAACTCAGTTGGCAGAGGGCTTGCTGGGCATGCGTGAGGCCCTGAGGGACAATCTCAAGCACTAGACACATCTGGGCACAATGGTGTAAGCCTGCAATCCCGAGACAGGAGGGTGAGGAGTTCAAGGCCATCCTTGGCTCTATACTGAGTCTGAGACCGGCAAGAGCCACAGGAAACAAAGTTCCAGCGTCCCTGGCAGGTGGAATCAACCTCTCTCCCAGGAAACCGCTGCATTTCTAAAACACCACAGGCACCCGCTTTAGTGTGGGGGTTCAAACACCGTGTTTATGTAAAGACAAAGAATGTGCTTTTTAAGAAGACACCTTTAAACACTATCTATTTATTCTGTCTACGTGGCTGAATTGATCTTCATACTTAAAGACACTAGAAGTCTTTCCAGGAAACTGCCACAGCCATTCCATAGATAGACAGAGTGACTCACCCGGGGCATGGCCACGTACATGGCACAGATGAAGGAGGCCAGCAACAGGCAGGAGGCCATGGTGTATCTTCTCCCCACCCTCTCCAAACAGAGGCACATAAATAAGTAGGCGGGAATTTCCATAGCACCTGTCATGGAACCGAAGAGCCCTGTGTGAGACTGCCGCCCAGACACGTGGTCACCCCCGCATCGGCGCACCACCCAGAAGGAGCCGGCAGCCCACACCCTGCCTCCCGGCACTAACGGGCACTGGCACAATGTCAAACGTTCTTCCTCCCTTGAGGAAAAAAAAAAAGTGTTTCCTGTGAAGCCACTAGGCTGACAAAATCCACCACAGCCTTTTACGCTGTCCTAGGAGCTGATCTCGCTAGGACCCTGTGTGCTGCCCGGAGATCTGGTCTCTTGAACGGATGAAGAAAGTGCAGAGAAGGGGATTTCTTGTGCTTGGCAGAACTGGGGTGGGGGGAGGGGTGCTTGGGGTGTATAACACGTGAAAAAGGAGGCCATAGTTATAGAAGACTCCATCACCACCACCACGCCAACTTAGTTCAACCACCCTGATCTCTGCCACCAGCCTCTAATCTCAAACCTAACCCGAGGCCAGTTTGACATAGTTATTGTCATGAGATGGGTGACATCAAACCAGACCACATAGACAAACCCGCTTCAACAGCTCTCCTTGTCTGAAAGGAACGCTGGTTGGCATTACAGCCAGGCGGTCACAATAGAGGTCAAGACGCTTTCTTGTTTACCTCCTTTACATTTTAAACACTGCTGTCTCTCACTTCAAAACTATTTTTTTTTTTTGTGGAACAATAAACTTCTAAACTTAAAAGAAAAATACGTGATTTAAATTTTTGGCAAAATTAAAGTAGTAAGCTACTAACTAAAGTAAGAGCTGAATACATTAATAGCAACTACTTCATATATAGATATATGCACATTTTTTAAGATAGGGTCTCACGCATCTCCAGGCTAGCCTCAAACTCACTGTTTAGCCAGGACAAGGATGACCTTGAACTTTTGATCCCCTGCCTTCACCTTCCAAGTGGTGAAATTACAGGTACAAACTACCAGACCCTTACTGATGTAATGCTGTGCATGGAACCCAGGGCTCCAAGTATGCAAGGTAAGGACTCTACCAACTGAGCTATAACCCGAATCCCCGCTTATTAGATTTTTAAACCTAAGATAAAGCCATTTAAAAATATAATAATCTCCTGAGCAGCAAGGTCTTTGTCTCTGATCTCTCTTTACTTGACTAAAAGAATGAGAAAAGCCTGAGTCCATAAATGTATAGATCCATTCATGCAGAAATCCCTTACCCTATGGGACCAAAGCTTGCCTCTTAGAACCAAAGCGTGAAACTCTTGGATACAGCTGTCCCATGAAGCTCCCTAACCCCTCACGGACACTGCGCTCCCCCTGCCTCTGCGGCCATTTGCTGCTATCCCAGGAAAACCACCTCATTTCTCAAACTGATGGACAGAATGGGGGTGGACTTTTCTTTTTCTTTCTTTTCTTTTTTTTTTTTTTTTTTTGTTTTGTTTTTCCAAGATAAGGTTTCTCTGTAGTTTTGGAGCCTGTCCTGGAACTAGCTCTTGTAGACCAGGCTGGCCTCGAATTCACAGAGATTCTCCTGCCTCTGCTTCCTGAGTGCTGGGACTAAAGGCGTGTGCCGCCACCACCCGGTTTGGTGGGCTTTTCTTACAGACTTGTAACATTGCCCAAAAACATGTGCTTCTTAAAATGATTTTTCTCATAATTCTTGCTGAATCATAATAAACAAAATAGACACATCATCAGGGGGCTTGGATGAGAAAGTACGATGTCTACGTATAAAAATGTAAAAGCAATATTTTTCTGAGGATAATATAAAACGTAGCAGCCCACACAGAAACAACCAGTGCAGACCAGAGGGAGAAACACAAATTTCTAACATCCATCTGTGTCTCCCCACCCTGCCCATTTAGCTAACATTTGGCTATCTTTGGAGCTACAGTCTGCCTTATCTAAAGTCAGTCTAGTTTTTACTAAAATGAAATAAACATGGCAACAATAATAGTTGCTTGCAATGGAGTTCTTTTTACAAATTAAGGGCATTTGGATGACCTCAAGGCATATGATATCAAAAGAAAGGCACCTGACCCAGAACAGTGGGTAGTAAAAGATGTCTTCAGGCCAAGCCATGGAGCATTTATGTGCATGTAGGTAGAGATGCAAAGAAAGAGGGCTGAGTCTATTCAAGCCAAACATTCTTGACTTTTTCTCTGGAAAGAACTATAAATTAGGGATGAAAGAAGCAAGCCAGGAAGGAAAATGGAGAATTAAAAAAAAAGAAGAAGAACTAAGCCCTTATTACTACTCTTGTCCTTTTTTCCGACAACTATGACTCTCATCCTATAGTATAATGACACTGAAAGGTATCACACTAATGCGGCCACCAATGTTGTTCCTTCAACACTGTGGCTTCAGAAGATAATTAAAACAGACAGAAACTTGACTCTAGTGGCCGTAAGGAACATCTATGTCCCACTCACCCACTAGGAAGAGGTACAGGTACTCATTTTCCTTTCCCTGAATAGCCTCCATGAAAAATACGTGGTATCCGAAATTTACTGTGAACCAAACCAGCCAAACAGCGAGAGTCCTTCTTGAAACATTCCGGTCATGAAACAGATCTCCTAGGCTGAGTTTCCTGACGCCTGCACAGCTTTGATCACAGGCACTACTCATGTCCAGTGATAAAAGTTCTTCCAGGTCACAGCGGCTGGATTCATTCCACATGGCCATGGTATCGATGACCCCTTGCGCTTCGTTGTATCTTCCCTCTGAGAGCAGCCAGAGAGGGGTCTCTGGGAGCATCCAGCAACACAGGATGAAAGGGGTGGTCACTATGCACAGGATGATCTGATAAAGCCACCAGGCGTTGGCCATGGAGCTTACCAAAGCCACCAGCATTACTCCAATAGCAAAGAAGGTATTCAGATGCATGGATGCCCATGTGCGAGACTTCTTGCCGATGAACTCCATCACGTAGACAAAGACCACCCCAAAATAGCCACTTGTAGCCTGAGAGACAAGGAGACAGTAATTAGGGTACAGTTACAGTGACTAAGAGGTCTGAGTTCTTCGCAAACCCATTTTAGAAAGAAATACCTTTCTTCTTTATGCGCATCCCTTGCTACCTCATTAGCAAACTTGAAAGACTATTTATAAAGGTATTAGATGCCACATTGTTTAATAAGAGTTCCAGTAGAAGGCAGAGTTATTTCTCAGTCTCTTCTGAAAGCACGTACCGATGTATCAGTATGTCGTTGTTATACGCTAATCTTAAAATAGGGACAAGATTTTATGGGGACTCGTGGGAGGAAAAGCCGACTTGGTTAAAGCTGTATGTTGATAGGCAACAACAGTAAACAAATTGGACTTGATCAAAGTTAAAACTTCTGTACTTCAAAAAAAATACTACCAATACTGCCAACAGAGTAAAAAGACCTCCTACGGAATTAGAGAAAATACACATGTCTGGTAAAAGATTTTACAGAGAACTCCTATAGTAAAACAAAACACTCAGAAGGCCAATTCAGTTCAAAAACAGACAAACGACTTTTGAGTGGGCGTTTCACAAAAGCTATCAAAGTGGCCAAAAGCACTCAGAATACGAAGGTATTTGACATCACTGTTAAATAGATGAGGTGACACAGGCTCACATCCTCTGAGACAGGGCCCAGGGGCTGGAGAAATGGCTCAGTGGTTAAGAGCACTGACTTCTCTTCCAAAAGACTGGAGTTTGACTCCCAGTATTCACGTGGCAGCTCACAAGCATCTGTAACTCCAGTGTGAGGAGATCTAATGCTCTCTTCTGGCCTCTGAGGGTGTTGTATACATGTGGTACATAGACATACAAAACATCCATACACATAAAATAGAAATAAATATTTTTCAGAGATACCTACTTTAAAAAAAGAAAGAAATGCAAGGGATGTAGAAAATTGGAATCACTGTGCACTGTCAATAGGAATGTAAAATGGCCTCTGTGGAAAGCAGTATGGCAATTCCTTAAAAATATTACAAGATCCCATAATCCCACTCCTTAGTATATAGCCCCCTACAATAAATGAGTGGCAAGCAAGACCCTAGAGAAGTGTTCATGGACCAATGTCAACAGCAACAAATTCACAGTGGCTGAAATACAGAAGCCATCCAGATGTCTGTCCTCAGATGAATACACACATCTGTGGATATACAGAGAACCGTTGGGCAGTCTTAAATACAAATTAAATTCTGGTTTATATTAAAGATGAATTAACTTGGAGGATACTGTCCAAGTGAAACAAGAAGAGCTACGAAAGAACAAAAGTTATCCTGTACCACTGGAGAGAGTGTCCAGTAGCCAGCATGGCAAAGACAAAAAGTCCTGCTTATGAATGAATCATTGTTTAATGGCCAAAGAGTTTTGATCTTGTAAACGACAACTGAACTTGGATATAACTTACCTCAATAGAAATTTGCTAAATTGTTTATTTTGAAAATAATGTTGTTTTGCCATTGTTTCGTTTGAAACTACATAGCCCAGGTTAGCCTCCAACTTGTGATCTTCCTGCCCAGTGCTGAGGGTACAGCCTGCACCACCACCCCTGGCTAAAATATGTCTAACTTTAATTTAGCAAAACTCAGATTAGAAAAGCAGTGTTCTCCATGCTCTTGGGATGGACAAAGATTGAATCAAATGATCAGTTCTAGATGGTCACGGAATCACATGCCTTTCGTGGGGAGGCAGAGAGAGGCAGATCTCTGAGTTCAAGGCCAGCTAGGACTGCATAGTAAGACTCTATAGCAGAAAAAAAAACCACAAAACAAATTATTAGGTAGGAGTGGTTGCAGAGATTAATTTTTCTTATAGTTATTTCATGCTGGACTGTAACAACAAAAAGAGTAAAATTAATGGAATTGCTAGGATTTTGGTTTGGTTTGGGTTTGGGTTTTTTAGGGTAGAAAAGTCTTAGTTTCGCTTACAATTCAAGGTTTCAGTCTGTTTTAACAGGACAATCAAGGTACAAGAACTTCAAACAGCTAGCCACGTCTCCTCCACAGCCAGGAGCGGAGGGAAATGAACACAAGTGTGCTTACTTGCTTGCTGTCCATTTTAATTGTTCATTGGACACAACCTAGCATCACATGGGAAGAGGGTCTCAGCGAGGAATTCTCTAGAGTAGGTTGGTCTGCAGACGTGCCTGGCAGATTATCCCGATTATGTTCATCGACATGGGAAGATCCAGCCTAAAAGTGGGCAGCATCATTCCCCCAGCTCATGGACTGGACTGAGTCTAAGAGGAGCAGGAAAACTAAGACATGTAGGTATCGCTCTCGTTGTCGCTGCTGTTTTATGTGCATGGGTATTCTGCCTGTCGATATGTCTGTGAGCCAAAGTGCATGCCCACTGCCCAAGGAGGCCAGAAGAGGGTGTCAGATCCCTAGAGCTGTAGTTAGACAGTTGTGAGCTGACTTGTGGGCACTGGGAATTGAACCTAAGTCCTCTAAAGAGCAGTCACTGCTCTGAACTGCTGAGCCATCTCTCCGGTCCATACACACATTAAGTCTCTACTTTTGACTACAGAAGCAACGAGCTGCTTCTAGCCCCTGTCTTGATTTCCCCACAATGGTGGGCTCTAATCTGAAATCGTAAGCTAAGTAAACCCTTTCTTCCTTAAAGTCGCTTTGGGGCAGGAGGCTCTTCTTCATAGCAATAAAGATGAAACTAGAACAGGTATGATTTATTGCCAAATTTTCCTAGGGCAACGCTGATTTTCCCAAAGGTCCCTCCTAATCCTCTATGTATGAGAATTTCATGCATAGTTACTATATATTTGTTCCTCTCCCCCTCCAGCCCTTCCCATGCCCCCCTCTCAAATTCAGGATCTCTTCTTCAATTATTGTTTTACGCACACACACAATCTGTTGAGTTAATTTGATGTTGCTGGTATCCATATGTGCTTAAGTTTGACCCCTTTGGATTTGATAACCTCCCAGGGAGGCTCATTCTTAAAGAACATCCCCCTCCCCGCCCCTCAGTAGTCATTCATTTCCTTCATTCATTCATTTTCATCCGCACTGCAATGTCAACTGCCACTGTCATTGTGCAAGACTGTTTAGGTGATCACGCAGTCAAGGTTTTGTGGGTACACCTCCCCGTTGGGTAGAGAAGACTATCTCAAAGCCAACTTTCCTGTCCTCTGGGCTCTTCCAGGTTTTCTGCCCCTCTTTGGTGATATTCCCTGATGGTGTTGTAGGTGTATCAGGTATTGGTGACTCCACCAGTCATAGGAGGTTGGCTAGATCCACAGTACGAGCTGAGTTATCTCCCTGACCAGAGACATTTATAGTTTGTGTGCTTTTGTGTGCAAATTTTATTTATTGGACATAAAAGAATTGTGCACTCGGTCAGGAAATGGTGGCACATGTCTTTAATCCCAGCACTTGGGAAAGCAGAGGCAAGAGAATCTCTGCATTCAAGGCCAGTCTGGTCTACAAAAATGAGTTCCAGGAAAGCCAGGGCTGTCACACAGAAAAATCCTGTCTTGAGACAAAAAAAAAAAAAAAAAAAAACCAACCAATGTGTACTTATGCTCACATAACATATGATTTTAAAAGTAAAATCTTTTAGAAAAATTAGTGCTGCTGCTGTTGTTGCTGCAGGAAACCTGTCTAGAAGTCTCTGTCAGCGTGGAAGAGTATCTTTGCTCACTGACATACTTCTGAGGACAGTACCATGCAGCCACCTGCCCTGTGTCAGCTCCCATCTCTGTGGATACTTACACTCCATCCCACTGAGTTCATCGGCAATCCAATGAGAGAAGTTTAATCATCTAATGTTTATAGACTATAAACTGGGGCTCAGAGGGACTAACCTGTGCTCAAAGGGGCAAAGCTGTCAAATTCACACCTACCTACAGCTCTCCCCTGTTCTCCAGAACCAGAACAGGCTTCCTGTCTCCTCCTCATTCTGCAGTCATTATATGCATGACTTTGACAGTACTTCACCTGTCTGATGTGTGCACACCGGTTCCAACTAGACCAATATAATCACTTAGGAATTAAATATTAAATGTTGCTTTCTTAACTGCAGACCATGTGCCAAGCAGAATCAAACAAAAAAGATTTATTCCTAAATAGGCAGCAACATTTTTCAAGAGTGCCATTCTAAACAGAAGGTGTTACTAGCCACAGAGAGTCTTCTGCAGTGGATGAAGATTGGTCGGCCCGTGGTCTCCTTCACTAGATTCTTAACAGACAAATAAGACTAAAGGCATTAAACTTACTATTCAATAAGCACAACTCACCATGGTAAGGAAAAAGCGTACCGCCATGAAGCTGAAATAATCAAATATAAAGATGGACGCTATTCCAAAAAAGAACACACAGATGCTCGTGGACCACAGAACCACCCGTCTTCCAAACCTGAAAAATGAGAGCACAGTGGGAATGCCAGTGTGGCCAATGAGAGCACAGTG